AATAGTGTACAGGCTGTAAAAACAATGTGTGCATTAATTAGTGCCCATGAGTTGTAATACACAGTTGTTTTGTTTTTATTTATGTATTTAAATTGCATTGTGTGACTTTATCTCTGGTCTGATTACTTTTGACTTTGAAAATTTAAAATATGACTTTTAATGATATATTTAGTAGCTTAGAAAGTGTTGGGAATGTTACTTCCAAAAAAGTTATTAACTACTAATTATATTATTTATTTATGTATCTAAATTACTTTCAATTTTAAATTACATGACTCAATGCACTTAATATATTTTTAGCCTTCTTTAGTTGAAAAATATTATTCTTCAAAATATATCTGTACATCAAACAATATATTTACTCTGCTTCTATGAAATAATTTATCCAGAACTGTTGAATGGTTGTAAAGTATTTAAGGCAAGTACAACTTTACCTTACTTTCATTTATAAGTAGATAAGTAATTTAATTACAGTAACTAATTTGTAACTTATTACACCCAACACCTTTTAAAAAAGTTTACTGAAAACCTAATTAAAATGAACATAATCAGCATAGACAAGAAAGTGTTTCCTCATTCATTTATTTATTCACTTGTGTCCACTTTTCTGGGACCGGGTCGCGAGGGCAGCAGTCTCAGGAGAGAACCCCAAACATCCCTCTCCCCAGACACTTCCTCCAGCTTCTCCGGAGGGATCCCAAGATGTTCCCCGGCCAGCCAAGGTCATAGTCCCTCCAGCGTATCCTGGGTCTTTTAAGACATACGGTTGGAGATCAGACAATGCAACCAGGAAGTCCATCATTGAACTCCACCCTAGGGTGTCCAGGTGCCATGTGCACTGGTGGACTCGCTTATGCTTGAACATGGTGTTTGTAATAGACAAACTGTGATAAGCACATAAGTCCAATACAAGAACACCACATGGATTCAGATCGGGAAGGCCATTACCCCCAATCACACCTCTCCAGGTATCACTGTCATTACCCACGTGGGTGTCCCCTAGTGGAACAACAAACTGCTCAGTCTGCACCCCTCCCAAGGACTTTAAAAAGGCAGAGTACTCTGCACTGGTGTTTGTTCCATGGGCACAAACCACAGTGAGAGTCCTATCCCTAACCCGAAGGCGCATAGGGCCACCCCTCTCGTTCACCGGGGAAACAGACTGCTTAGTCTGGCACCTTCCATCACCCCTTCAAAGGACTCCAAGAAGGCAGAGTACTCTGCACTGGTGTTTGGCCCATAGGCACAAACCACAGTGAGAGTCCTATCCCTAACCAGAAGGTGCAGGGGGGCAACCCCCTCATTCATCTGGGAAAACTCCAACACATGGCGGCTAAGTTGGGGAGCTATAAGCAAGCCCACACCAGCCTGCTGCCTCTCACCATGGGGAACTCTAGAGTAGAATAAAGTTCAGCCCTTCTCGAGAAGTTGAGTTCCAGAACCGCAGCTGTATGTGGAGATGAGCCCAACGATCTCTAGTCGGTATTCTCCCGCACAAGCTCTGGTTTCTTCACTCCCAGTGAAGTGACATTCCATGTCCCAAGAGCCAGTTTCTGTGCCCAATGATTGAGTTATTTTGGTCCTGACCTTTAACCACCAACCGTTCCACAATACACCAGCCTTTTATGGCTCCCCCTGCTGGTGGTGGGCCTGCAGGAGCATGGTCCCACATTGCTTCTTTGGACTGAGTCGGTCAGTTTCTGTGGGATAAAACCTGGCCACCAGTCGCTCGCATATACGAGCCCCAGCCCCAGACCTGGCTTTAGGGTGGGGCCCAGGCTGCGCCGTACTAGGCGATGTCACAGTCTTTGCTGTTTTTGCAAGGGTTTTTGAACCGCACTAAGTCTGACTTGTAACCTAAGATTTTTTGCCTCGAGAGACCCTACCAGGGGCATTAGCCCCCTACAACATAGCTCTCATGATCACTCAGGCACTCAAACCCCTCCACCACAATAGAGTGGCGGTTCATGGAGGAGGAGAAATTGTCTGAAAATGTCAATGAAATGCTTATGATTTCTACATCAAAATCTAGTTCTACTGTTTTAGGTGTAGCACTGTACAACAGTTTACACTGTTTAATGGTGCTTTTAGCTCCATTTGTTTTAAACACATATACACCAAACAAATGTTTCTCATGCTGATACAGAAACAGATTTGCTGTATATGTGTGACAAAATCTGGGGAATATTGGGTTTAAAAATAAACAGATCCACAGGTGGGTGGAACTGAGTTTTTGTTTATTTGTCTTCTTTTGTCAGACGGCATGAACTGTGGTGGAAAACCCAAGCATTGTTTGCTCTTAAGAACACATTTACTAATACTGTACGTAGGAAGACCAATGGATAAACATAATTAAACTCACTGACCAAACTTCAGTCAGAGAAGCTTGTCTTGTTAAGTTCAGATTTCACTGTTGATGAGGCAGTTGCATATTTGCGTTGGATCCAGAGGGAATTGTGTTCTAAGGGAACAATCTATGGGCCACAAACTTGCCCAGCTGTCAAGCTGATTCTACCAAACACATCAGAGATCTTTGATCACATCAAAGGATAATCTAATAGCTTTTACATAGACATTTTTTAATGCATGAGTATGAAATCTCCTCTCCCCACCAACCACCTTAAAACAGCCAGTTCTGTTATACCCTGAGGAATATTTAATTGCTCAGAAGCTCAAGCTCATCTCATATTTTTCAGGGTTTTTGAAAAAAAAAAAAAAAAAAAAAACAGGGATTTTTTTTTTTCAAACAAAGTAGTATAATATGCACCATTATACCATTCAAGTGTGGGCTCAGTCAGATTTTTAATAAGGCTGTACAGTACTCTCATACATTTATGCTGTTTTTTTCTCTAATATTAATATTTTGAAATATATTTAGAGTCATTCCAAAACATACTTTATTCCTGCAATGTCAAAGATCAATTCTTAGCATCATTGCTTCAGTCTTCAGTGTCACATGATACTTAAAAAAATCTTTCAGACTTTTGGATTGGATGCTTATAAAACATTTCTCATTATTACCAATTTAAAAAAATCTATTTGGGCTGCTTAATTATTTTTGGGATTCACACTTATTTATATTTTTACCATCCAATTTAAACAATTGCAAGATCAATCAAAGTGTTGATTTTGTCCAAAAAAGAGCTAAACCTTACTGACATCAGCCCATATATTTAGTAAGAGTATATATGAAGAGTTTAAAACCTCTAAATCCTCTAAGACCTTTTTTCTTGTAAATAAGCATTTTCTATCAGGCTCCTCTGATAAGGTTCAGAAGTTTCATTTTACATGTAATGATAAGGTTATTATTAGCTTGTAAATAAAAGATCTTTTTTTTTTTCTTTTCAAAAATGTCACTTTAGACAGTTCTTTGTTTTTTAACAAAATTAATTTTCTTTTGCATCAAAACCAGCTAAATCCACTTCTGCTTTATGCAAAACCCTCTTAATCCACCTATTGGAACAAGACAGTGTAATTAGTTGAAAATGAAGATGACATTACAAATTATTTTACCAAACATAAAACACAAATTACCTGAAATTTTTAAATATATAAATCTGTCAGGTAAACGGCGGTTCATTCCTCTGTGATAAACCAGGGGGAAAGCAGAAGGAAAATGAATAAATGAAATCTTTCAAGTGCTTTAATCAATAACAATAAAACTGACATTAATTAAATCTTAACAATCTGGTGTCATTTCTGATATTTGGGATTTAGATTTATTGTGAGTAGAACAATGTAAACATTACAAACATTCTAAACATTTTGGTTAAATTAAGTTAGATTTGGTTATTATAAGTTTGGTAAATTCAAATAATGTAGAGTAAAAACATAGTGTGTCTAAAAGTAGAAATGTAGTGTAGTTTGTGAAACATCAATATCTGTGCATTGTCCATTAATATAAAAAGCTTATCATGTATATAGGTATTATGAAGTAATACAAATGATGTATAGTTTTATACATTATATTTATCTTTTAAAAAATTGCTTAAATTAGCAAATAAAACACAAGGTAACCCTATTGGACAAAAAAGAGATGCCTCTCAGACAATTTTAGAAGCTGTCATTAATTCATTTTCACCATACTTAAGGTCTTGGTCCCGTGTTTATCCTCATAGCATCCACGTGGGGAAAAAATACAACATCTTAACTGACTTTCGTAAAATGGAGTTGGCATTTATTGTATAGTAAATCAGACTCATTCAAAGTAGCGTCGCTGCACAAAAACACGTTATGAATGCATCCTACGCTTCTGACAGCACATTGTGTTTTCTTTTTCTTATGATGCACAGAGTTTTGAGGTAAGGGACGTTTTCATTTGCTGTTCACTGACAGTCGAACAGGCTCATGCAGTTCATCAAACTCCGTCTTTTAAAACCCAAATCGAGCGGAATATGTCTCCTCATAAAGCCAGTGTATCAGCTCGCTGCTACATTGAAAACATATGATTTAATTCTCGCTTCTGATTGGTTCTGGGGATATAGCGGTTTTTGCTGTCAAAGACAAATGGCGTTCAGCGGCTTTTGCAAACAAACTGTTATTTCTGAATGCGCTGACGCTGGGATTTAGATGATTTGAAGCAAATTTATTTGTTGATGGTGTAACATTCACTCAATGCCTTTATCTCATTTTTCCCGGAAGTGGCGTTTAGTGGCTTTTGCATCAGAACTCTTCATATTGAAATAAATTGCTTGATTTTCATCAAGTTTATCTCTACAGAACCGAGCACAGATCCAGTCCAAGCGCTGCCCATTAATCTACATTTAAAGCTAATAAAGTCTAGCAGAAAAATAAATGGGATATTCAAAAGCTCTCGTTTATGAGTTTTCTTCTCATATGAGTACTTGAAAGAAGAAAAAGGAAAAGAACGAAACTATTCGTGCCTCTGTTCAAAAATGAACTCATTTATGTTACTGTAAAAATCTATAGGTTGTTAGTGCGATCAATACTTCTTTCTGTGCATGTCGTGACCTTACTGTGAACTTTCTTTATTTCCTCAGCTCGCCACCTGGGACCCAATCCACGGACTGAATGGAACACTGACCGATCGAAAGCTGGAAAACAACATGCGTGGGGTCGTCCTACGGGTGGTCACTGTTCTGGTATGTACCACATCAACTTTACCAGCCAAGTCAATGGGTTAATGCTGTATGTCATCTAATACAGTGTTTCCAAACCCTGTTCCTAAAGGCACACCAACAGTACACATCACATTTTCAACCTCCTAATCCTAAACCTTCCTAATCAAACACACCTGAATCAACTCATCAGAACATTAGAAGAGACTCCAAAACCTAAAGTGAATGGGTCAGATAAGGGAGACATCCAAAATATGCAATGTTTTGTGCCTCCAGAAACAGGGTTGGGAAACACTGATCTAATAGATACAATGTTCCACATACTGTAATTACAAAGTTTTACAAGATGTCAGTGATGCCTTTCTAATATAAATGACATCAAACAGGCTTAATTAGGATCCCCCATGTTTCGGAGTTCCTCTGTCTGACTGGACTTCATAAGGTTGAAGTAACTCAAGAGTAATCCATATTCTTGTGAGCTCCAGAGGTCTGTTCACATCAAGCCACCAGTCTCTAAGTTCATTAAGAGTAAAATTTTGGGGTGCGATGTACGTAGACCAGGGGAGCTGGGTTATATTGAGATTTGAGTTTTCGTTATCTTCCCTCCAGCGCCGATTTGAGTAAGTCCCTGGAGTTCTTTAAAGATTCAGAGGTTTAAATTCTTCATATCCCTGCTTTGAAGTCAGTTGGAGAAGAAAGCAGTGATGCTGCTAGCCTGCGTCTCTTCTCTCTTTCTCTTCCTTAACCCCTCTATTTCTTTTATTCTGTGATTTCTCGCTCTGACAGAATGCTCTGTGAATAACGTGCATCCACATTTGCTCACAATAACTAGCAATTTGCAGTCTGTGTGCTGCCCCTACTGGTACTAGAATTGAATGCATGTAAGCCCATGTTGATTAGCTGTAGATGCCTGAGGACAGTAGTCTTTTATAGCAAGGCCTTGAGACCGTATGACTAGCAGGTGAAGCAACCAATGATGTTTTAATTTGTGCCATGTCACAGTGTGCACTTCGTTAATGACCATGACAACAATGCTCTCCCTGTACACATCTAGATACTAAATCTAAGACTAAATTAAGACTAAATCATCTAGCTGCTATGTCAGCATTTGTTCATTCATTTTTACACACATTTGCAGCTGACTTGGCCTTTAAATGATGTTTGTCATTTGATTATTTTATAATACTTGTGAGCGGGCAAACAGTTCATTTTTAAACAATTTCTTTGACCAGACTGAATATGTTGTTTTGAAAAACCTGTCTCAAGTAAAGTTATGTTTTTGCCATCAGAAATTAATGTTTTTATTTGGAGGAAGTTGCCAGGCAACAGAGATTCAAAAGGCACATGGAAAAGTTTTGATGTTATTATGTGATGCGAAAATGTGCTAGTTTTTGCAATTGTTTTAGAATTTCGGATTAAGTTACCCATGGGAGAAAAGACAAGGGATAATAAATGACAGAAAATGGTCAAACTGCTTGCTCTACAAACAAGTGTGTTGCTGATTATGCATAAAAATAGAATAACACAGTAAGTAAATATTAATTTGCAACATCAAGAAGCATAAGTCAATGGAAATGAATGAACCCAGAAGTGTTGAGCCAAAAAGATTCTAATAACTGCATTCGCTCGTACGTGGAGAATAAGGTCAATCAGCTCGATCTCACATGGAACGTAACTATTTTACGTTTTTCTCAGTTTAGTGGCAAGTTCAGTCGGATGAAAATGTATGATTTTATAAAGGAAATGAAGTCAGAATGTTAGAAATATTCACACATTTAGAAAAAGTTACAAAATAAAATAAATCTAAATGACCATTTCTGTAGTTTTAGTGTTAAGGCCAGGTTGCACCTAGTCGATGGTTGGCCATTGGGCGTTTCTGAACTATCATTGTGTGACTGTCAGGCTAGTTTGTTTGTTGTGTTCCACATGCTACTTCTCATCTAGCTCATGTCAGAGGGAGTTTGCCTGATTCAGAAAGTAGAATAGGCATTAACCATCAGTGAAAGAGCATTCTGATAGGATATTCAGCTGCAAATTAGAAATGTGAGAAAAATGAAGTGTCGAAGCTAAGCAAACGACGCAAGTCAAGAGAGAACGCAATCAAGCTTTCTCCTATGTAAAATTATTTAGATTATCAGACTTATTTTCAGGAGTGATTCTCTCTGTGGTGAGTGCAAGGTGCTGTGAAATGTACATACTGTAAACACTGCGTTGTTGAAGGTTTGTATGTGTGCAGCACTAAATCCAGTTTTCCTTTGGTGTATTGACAATACAGACCTGTGGAAATGTAAAAAAACACTGAATGTACATTAGGATTGTAGTTGCTGTAGTCAGTTTGGTGTGTTCATGCAGTTTTTAAACCAGACAGGACCAGATCTAGCCAGAGCCACTAGAAAAGTGGTGATTTTGGTGTCTCTTTGAGAATGAAGGAAAGTTCTTTTGATTAAGGTTGCATATTTGCAAAAAAGAGATTTTAAGATTGTGTTTTTGATATAATCAGGGGCACCCCTGGGTAAACTCTGGCCACCCCTGTGGCCACCCCAATATGATTTTGCTGTTGATATTATTAACTTAAATGTACTTATGTAAATTCCCAATGTTTCTATAGATAAATAAATAACATGCAGCAACTAAATTATTGTTGGTGCCACCAACCTAGCTCTAGCTGATTCACTGCCCCTCTCTTCCCATAGTGGCGGATTTGGGCAATTTGCCAAATGCCAGGGCGGCGTTGCAAGTATCTTGCTGGGGCTGGGCGGCACGCGGAGATGATGCAACAAAAAGCATCCCCTAGTAAAAGCATTGGGATACCATTTACTTTATGCAAGTGTGTTAACTTAGAGTGGCAACCCCAGAATAAAGACATTAAGGGTCGTTCACATCTTTTACACGCGTTTTCTATGTGCAACCGAAACAACGCTGGTGAAAGCAAACTGACACATGCGAGCAGAAAACCATTCCTGTGCGGCTCACGCACTCGTGTGTGAATCCCGGTTGTTTACATGCACGCTGATAAAAATTGCGCCGCTCATGCACCGTGAAACCGGAGTAAGCCTTTTGTGAAGAGGTGTCGGCACACAGTGAGTTTTGAAAGTCGACAAAACTAAAGTTTATATAATATGATGATGATAATACTTTCACTAAGCATGGCTATAAAGCAGTAAGGAGGGATAAAGAGTCAGGGAGGTAAGACTTCATAACAGATAATTCTATAAAACACATATTTTTGTATTCTATAGACTTGTCATAACTAATATTCATGCAAAAGGTTTCCTAAGTGATCTTAGCATATCACTCTGTTACATTGTTTTCCAGTAACATTTAGGATTAATGTCTGTTATTTATTTAGAATAATAATTGTATAATAATATTCATTGTATTTATTTAGAATAAATATAAATACATTTTTATTTTTATTGAAAAATAAATGTAACTATTAAAGGAGGGTGGGTATATGGGGTGGTTCGCCCAGGGTGTCATAAAGTAGAACCACCACTGCCCTCCCTGATCGTCGTTGACAGCACACACACACATCTTCAATCGACAGTAATGGCTATGTAGGCTAATATTTACTTTAAGGTTCATCAATAGAAAAAGCTGCATTAATAAAATGGCTCAAAAAGGGATATACCTGTAGATAAATGATTTTATTAGGGTCTGTATAGTGAGTGTGTGTGTATATAGTAATGCCTGTTGTTCAGTTTGTTCATTTGTTTGTTTTATCATTTAACTCATTAATCTCCATTAATTTTATACATGGCATATACTGCATGCTGTACAATAAATGTATGTGAAAAACAACTGAAAAGTTATTTCTATATATGAGAAGTGTTTTTAAACTAAATATAAATTTTTATTTGGTTTGCAGACAAATTTATTAAATGAATTAAAGTCACATTATTTAATTTACCAGAAACAAAAATATAACATTATACTGAATTCATTATTTTTTTGTGTGCCACCCCAAGATTTGGTGTGGCCTCTTCTGGCCACCCCTATGAAAATTTTCTGGGGGCGACACTGGTTATAATCGTTGAAATGTTGAAAAATTACCTCTTATGAGCAAATCTTTGAGTAAAAAATTTCTGTTTTAAGATAAGTTTGAATGTCAAATAAATGGAGAGTAAAGTAGTTAATTGGGTTTGAAAAAAGCATAGATACCATTTCTAATTTGAAACTATATCTTGAAGTAATAAGTAATGCTATTACTTTAATGTATCTTAAAGTAATGTTACTACAGGATTTGTTATCTTAAATGAGGAAAGCAAGGATAGACTTGAGAAGGTCAGTCCCAGCCAGGAGGAGGGGGAGCATGATTGGTTTTCTACCTCAGTCCAGTCAGCCAAAGAATCATGAGATGTAAATGAGAGGGCCCGTATATTAAATGACCAATAATGTAGTTGGAAATTAGGTGGGGAAAAAAAAGCAGTAATACAGTAACGTTTTAAAATAGATCAATTTAAATTGGGGAAAGATGGTTCAAGAAATATAGTCATATTCATGTACTTTAATCTTGCTTTAGTCTTCCAATTTTTCTTTTTATCATTGAAAAATATATAGTGAATTATTCATTTTAAATATCATTAACTTTAATGCCCTTGTCTCGTCACTTTTTTCCATCTTTGAAATATTTAAAGAGATTTGTTGATTTTTAAACCATCACAAGAGCCTGCTGGGTTCTTTCTATGAAATAATTTCCTTTTTTGCATGTTGTTTGCACAACATGAGTTTAAGGCAAAAGTTTACCAGATATTATTTCTCTCTAAATAATAATAAATAATACAAATTTAAATGGCTTTTCAATTCTCAATTATTTTTCCCTGCATACTCAACGGCCACTTTATTAGATACTAGTACTGGGTTTTCTCTTTTTGCCCTCCGAACTAACTTAATCCTTTGTGGCATAGATTCAGCAAGGTACTGTAAATATTCCTTAGAGATTCTGGTCCATATTGACATGATAGCAGCACGCGGTTGCTGCAAAATTGTTGGCTGCAGATTCATGATGATAATCTCCCGTTTCA